GCAGTAACTTTGATGTCTTTAGATGCCCACAAAATACAGTTATTCCACTTTATAGCATGTTCTGCGAAACGCTTGAAAGGTGCTGACGTGAAAGGTGCTATATCAATGCTATGCTCCTGATGTGAAAGATGCTATATCAGTTGTAAGGATCATTTTTTTTATCCATTTCAGAGTCAGTACTCCTTATCTTAGTGAGAGATTCTGCGCTGATGTTTTTGGCATTTCATGATGCATTTCTTGTGCTAGTTATCACATTTTATGAAATGCTGATAGTTTCATCCCAATGAGAAAGAAACGATTTCAATTTATCAGTGAGTAAAGAACGGACTCTGATCTAACCTTGTGCAGTGAGCACCCAGTTTGCAGTATGCAGTTTGACCATAATGTACAGTCCATTTCATGTAATGACTACACTGTGTAATTATAGTACAGCCTAGAATGTAGTGAGGACAGTTTAACTCTGGTATATAACAACAAAATTACATTTGTATAGCCTCTTTCACATAGGAAGGATGTCCTGATGTGAAAGGCCAGAGGCCTGAGTTGTGCTCTAAATGGTCTATCTTCACTGGATCATATTTTACAAATGAAAGGTTTTCTATGCCAGTTTTTTCTACTCGGTTTACCTGATGTAATTCCCTCGTGTTCCTCAGGCTCCAACAGTTCTACAATATCTGATCATTCTTCACATGAGACAATGAGTTTCCGCAGGCTATTTGTCTACATACACAGTACAACGTACATTTATATAGCACCTTTCACATCGGGAAGACGTCACAGTGCTGGATGGGCACTCGAGCTAGTTCCCAAAGGAACTGGGCAGCGGGAAAATTGACCAAAAGACATGCTAGCTAAGGGTCTCAAGGGATATGGGGAAAAGACAGCTAATTGGAGCTGAGGTACAGATCAGCCATGATCTTATCCACACATTCATCACATCGAGGCTTGTCTATGTCAACTCGTTGCTTGTTGGCTTTCCCAACTCTTCCCTCCACCACCTGCAGATCATCCAGAACTCTGCAGCTTGTGTTCTCTCCCGCACCAGGCTCCGTGACCCCATCACCCCCACCCTCCAGCATGCTCCATGTCCCCCGCCCATTCTGTCCCACTATCAGTTCCAAAGGGTGTGGGCAGAGAGCCTGACGGTTGGGCCTTCAGCCTCTCTGCCCACACCCTTTGGAACTGCATCCCACAGTCCCTGCGTCTTGCTCCCTCGCTTGCCTCATTCAAGGCATGTCTCAAGACCCTCCACTTCGACCTCGCCTTCGGTCATCCTCCTAATAATGCTTTAATTCTAGCTATTGTGCATATTGGCAAAGGTCATAGTGGTGCTTACATGATTTAGCACTACTGGCATTAAGCCAGGGCAGAAACAGGTTCCAGAGGAATGAATTTTTATTACCATAGACCAAAAATAGATTAACGAGGGATTACATGAAGTGCTCATTCCTGATGATAGATCTATCGTAATTGTCCTATGTAAATCGGCCTGGAGTTACAATGTTTGAATCTCAGTGCAGTCAACAAATCCCATCTTTGCATTGCCTTTTTCTGTGTGCAAATTGGCTGCTGTGTTCACCTACAAAACATATAGTCATTCCACTTTACATGAATCCTGTGAAGTGCTTTGGGACATCCTCCCAAAATAAAAGGCTCTCTCAAATTTAGGATAATTTATTATTATTATCATCATCATTATTATTATAATTAGTATTATTATTGGGGCTTTGCAAATGTTTTGTGTCTAAAATACATTCTACTGCTTCCTTGTGATATTCTGAGGACTGACTAATTAGTTGGACCAGTCTGTTGCCAGCTGAACCACATAATACTAGTGTTTAATCCAAAAAACAAATCAAGGAAACATAAATGTAATTTATAAATGAATTGTGTTGATGGGAGCTGTAATAATCTGGTACGTCTAAAACTATCAATATTGTGTAATAATGCCTCAACAATAACCAAAATCATATCCTATATATAAATACATGCAGTATTTATCTAGGCGCTCCGAAATACTTAACCACACTAGGGCACTATATAAATGCAAGTTGTTATTTTCTTATATTAATAATCCTTGCATTTGATATAGAGCCTTATCACGTCTTTGAGACATCTCAAAGCACTTCACAGAATATATTGTAAAATGAATTAACTGTGTATTTTGTGGACGAAACGTGAAAATATAACAAGGATAGAGATGACTTGTACCCAAAAGAAATTTAGAAATAGCTGCAGAATGTTCGGTGACCCCAAACCTCCATTATATACTGTAACTCTGGCCTACTTCCTTTCATCGATAATAACCCCCTATTATAAGCAGCAACAATTACTTCCACTGAGAACCATTTGTACATTCGACTGTAAATATCCCTATAGCCTCTAATACTTTTCTAAGAAATGTACTTACAAAGTTATTTTTGAAAAAATTAATTGACCTAGCATCAAGTGTTTTTGTTGGATGCCTGTTCCACATATCCATTTCTCCATGGAAAACAAATATTTAAATCTCTCGTCCTGCTTGAGGCTTTTTGACATTAAACCTGTGCCCTTTAATTTTTCTCTCATATGGTCTAGATCAAGTCGATTGCTTACATCTATAGTATCTAATAATATAATAATAATCCTTGAATCTGATACAGTGCCTACACATAATGTCAAGAATGTCTCAAAACTCCTCACAACATTTCTGTTAAGGGCAATGGGATTTATTTATACAGTATATTTATTAATAACAATAATCTTTACATTTTATATAGCACCTTTTAATGTCGGGAGAACGTTTCAAAGCTCTTCACAGGATATACAGTAATGACCATGTATTCTGATGTCCTAGGAATCTCCAGCAGTTCTTTGAAAGATGAAATTTTTATGTATTCACAAACAACTAGGGGCAATGTTATAAGCGCTACAACCTTTGCATCAGAGCTCTAGCAATGTGCAAGTATTTTTCAAGTCATTGAGCTGAGAATCTGGTTGTATCTCAAATTGAAGAGACTATAGCTATGAGCATAGAATCATTTCAGTCAGTGTATATTCTTGTCCAGCTTCAAGTTGTAACGTGCTTTTAAGAAGTTTGAGCGGGTTGCTGCTGCAGACCACTGCCAAGAATAAAGCATAGATTCCTCTGTGCTGTCCAGAAAGCATGGCTGCTGCTCCCATGCACCTTTGACAGACATCTGCCCACTGTTGAATGCGTCCATCTCCCCCTGGTTGTGGGGATAATGTCTTTGTTTGGAGCACTACTGGCGGACACGTGGAGCGGGTCAGCAAAGGTGAAGTGGGTTCCCTGAGAAAAGTAAACACCCGCAGAATCCTCTTTATCAATCAGGTGTTGAGCTTCATTGAATGTAGTTCCGCAGGTTCGATATATGGAAGGATATGGAGTGATTGGGATCACTGTATACCCCTTGGTAATTAAATGACTCCAACAGCATCATGAAGGAAATTAAGGAATTTTCATGAGAGAGGAATCATCCATTTTCTTTTCAATAGTGCCACAGGAACGTTAATGTACACTTGACCATCCATCGTGATTCTACCAGGAAGGCCACTGGATCTAGAAATAAGATAGGAGAGGTTTGATGGTCAGGCAGTGAAGAGAGAGAGGCTTTGTGTCGAAACAAAGTACCTGCTGCTTGTTATTGATGTTGTCTTCTTAATACAGCAATTATTTAAAATGACTTTTTCAGAAGTTGGGAGAGTGTCAGTAAATCCCTCCCTCCCTCCCTCCCTCACACACACACACACACGTGCCATAGAATGTGAACTGGTAGCCATTGTGTTTAAACTTGAATTTATTTTTTGTTGTGGGGAAGATCTTTAATCATTAGGGGACTACACTGGAAGTTCCATCTCTTCTGTGGGCAGCAATGACTTTTCAAGGCCTTGAGTTGGGGTAGACATACTCTCAGTGCTAACTGCAAAGGAACACCAGATACAAGGCTGCACTTCACTACACACACTTTTGACTAATAGACAGATAATTATAGCTGAAGCCTACAATAGCTGAAAATAAAGAAAGTTTCACTGAAAGGAATATGTATACCATGCCTTCATGTGGAATGTAGCATGTTTATACAAACATATATGAACTGTAAATCAGCGCAGTCTTAAACTGATGGAAATTACAAAACAAACTAGCAGTGCTTTGCAACCAACTCCACACAAAGAAGGACGATTAAGGGTTTTATTAATGCCACAAAAAAGGCCTGCAGAATTACACATTTTAGAATCTTAAGACTGGTTATTGAATTATTTGACTTCCCCAATTCCATCATTTATACCACAAATTTTTTGATTCATATTCAAATCATATGGGTGCCTCTAAGAAACATTATGATGCTTTGAATTACATTCACTGATCTTTATTATTATTATTATTAATAATATTAATATTAATATAATTAATAATATTATTATTATTAATAATAATCCTTGCTTTTGGGATAGCACCTTATCATGATCATCTCAGAACGCTTCACAGGATTTGCTGTGAAATTAATTGACTGCGTATTTGTAGGCAAATGCAACAGCACAATTGTGCACAGCAATATCCCACAGAAAACCATGAAACATGGGAACAATTATATTCGGGGGATTGTTGGCTAGGACACCGGGAGAAACTCTCTTTTCTTTTTCAATAGTGCCACAGGATCTTTAAAGTACACCTGAACAAGCAGACGGGACGGGACCTCAGTTTAATGACATCCGAAGGACAGCATCTCTGACAATACAAAACCCCCACATTCATTACATTGGGTGTCAGTTTGGACTGTGGGTCCCGACATGGGGTTTGAACCCACAAGCTTCTGACCCAAGCTGACACAACAGATTACAACTATAGCCTCTGGAGATTTAATTGCACAAATAGTTCCTTTATTATAATACACTCCCGACTATCCAAATTCACAATCAATGTCTCTGTAAAAATGGCACAGTTCTATTCAATTGCAATGGTTTATCAAGGTTGGCTCACATTGCTCTCTTTGTATTTCCAGAATCCCAGCTAAGCTCAGATCAGGAACAGAGCCCTGGAGCCACCAGTGAGAGCCCAGCCCAGCACACTTCCTGCTCATACAGCTCATCTGCAGAACTCACTCCTAACTCCACCTCGTCGCTACCCACTTCCTCAATGGATGAGATTCAGATGGAGCTACAATGCGCTGACCTCTGGAAGAGATTTCATGACATTGGCACTGAAATGATCATCACCAAGGCTGGAAGGTACCTGAAAAGATGTTTTCTTCCTGACGTAATTAATGAAATGTTCCTCACCGAAAATATTCAATTGTTATGTTTAGTACATTTTTTGCCCAAACTCTAAATTGACCAAATAGTTTTCAAAAAGCATCCTTCCCAATTTGGAAAATCTCTCAAGAACTACCAAATGTAGGATCATCAGATTTGAAGCTGTTGGTATTTAGCTGGAAACACAGACAGAAAAGAAAGTAAATCACACGAGTTCCCCCATTTAGAAAAATGTAAAGAATTTATTGATGACTCAGGAAAGTCATACTGAGTCATACAAAACAACAATTGGTTTGTATCCCGGTTGTGGTTGAATCTTCTGGCCTCTGTTGGAGTATGTGTTGGGGTGTTGGTATTGGTGACAGAATTGACACAACATTGGTGTAACAATTTGCTTCATTGCCTCTGGACTAGATATGGCTTCCGCTCCTGATCATTATCCAGTGACTACTGTTTCCCCCCCACCCCACCACTGATAATAATCCATTACATTTAGTACAGCATGACGGAAGGACATCCCAAAGAGCTTCACAGGATATACTGTAAATTGCTGTTACTGTGTGTTTTTGTGGGGCTAGATGTTGGGTGGACATCAGCTGAAACTCACCTGTGATATTCCTTATCATTGCAAAGCGTTGCAAGCACTCTTGCACTCAGGCTCACCTATGAAGAATGACTTCAAAAGAAATATAAGTGCATCTGCGCGTCCATTCGCACTTCTTTAATGCTGTTTTGCTGCTTTTGAAACAAACCCACAGTATAAACAGAACGGTTTCTCTAACAATACTTGCTGCATAAAGTGTTGCAGATCTACTTCCAAAAGTCGTTCTGCAATAATATAGCATTTGAAGTGATTTACACATCTTTTATCTCTTTTACTTAATTTCTCAAATGATTTACCAATACAGAATTTGATTCAGACTCATTCAATTCATCCTTACGAGGGAAACGTTTTGTGCAGGTCTAGATTTATCAGGGAATAGGTTTCTATGGTCCCCTACCAGTAATATTGTTAACGCAAAAATCTTATTACCCCCAGTACTTCTGATGAGGAAAGGTTTGATATGGTACATGCACCTAGATTCTGCAACACATCTGGGATCTATGCACATCTGCAATCTATTTTTATTCCTTATTATTAATTCCATCATCAAAATGTTAGTGCAATTTTATTCTGAAAACTGATCCAGTTACTTTAATTCCTTCCCCCATTACAGATATGTGATATTCTCTCATCCACTGTTTGTGCAAGTCATGAGATACTGTAGTTGCTAGAACTTGTGTGAGAAAACAGCTTGGGTCAACTTGCTGTATGATTGACTCTTTCTATCAGACTACCCAGCTAAGATCAGGAGCTCGAGACCCAGAGATTTACTAGCAAAAGCCCCCTCCCAACCTTTCGTTTGCATTGGACACATCAACATAGGCTACATCCAGCATCCTTCCTTCTACACAGAAAGATGCAGCAAGAATAAACATTGCCATCCCAATAATAGATAAGACTGAAGAGACATGTTTAAGTAGTTTTACAATTTTCTAAAGAAATAATCAGAAGATAAGTAGTTAAATATTATTGACCATCTCAAGGAGCGTCATTTTGGAATCTTGCCCTGAACAGACATTGTTTTGAATCTAAATCTAACTTTATGAATTGCAGTCTAAATGGGAAGGAAACCCAGGGAATAATCACATTTAATAAAAATGGAAGTCTTCAACGTCCCCTGCCCTTCCCCCATCTCCATTAGAACCTTTGCAGCATAATTCCACTTTTATTATTCCCTGGTTATCATTGGTCTTTGACTGAGGGCAAGTGCAAAAATGCAGACTCGCATTAATTTCCATTGCAGTGAATTCACAACACAGAGCGGTCCTGCATTATGAATTCATACTTATACATTCCATGGCTGCACACTCCACCTCATTGAGCAATTCCGAAACCTAGGTGACTTGTTTGACCCTCAACTATCCTTTCTACTCCACATCCATGCCATGATCCACTCTGTCTTCCCCCACCTCCGCAACATTGCCTGGCTCCGCCACTGCCTCACCCCTCGGGCTTCTGAAGCCCTCATCCACGCATTCATCACATTTAGGCTTGGCTATGCCAACTTCCTGCTTGTCAGCTTTCCCGACTCTTCCCTCCACAAGCTGCAGATCATCTAGAACTCTGCAGCTCGTGTTCTCTCCCACACAAGACTCCATGACCCCATCAACCCCACCCTTCCCCAGCTCCACTGGCTCCCCATCCCCAGAGGATAAAGTTCAAAATCCTTGTCTTTGCCTTCAAGGCTCTCCACAGCCTTGCCCCTTCCTACTTCTGTGACCTGCTAGACCCATATCAACCTGTCTGCTCCCTCCGCTCAGCAGACTACAGCCTGCTCCACATCCCCCATCCAGCCCACCCAACCATTGGTGGCTGGGCCTTCAGCCTTTCTGTCCCCATCCTTTGGAACTCCATCCCACATTCTCTTTGCCTCGTTCTCTCCTTCAAGGCATTTCTCAAGGCCCTCCTCTTCGACCTCGCCTTTGTCCACCCTCCTACCCTCCCTGATCCCAACCCCCACCTCCTGCTCGGGTACAAATCCCTGACTGCCCAGCATCTTGGGACATCCTCCCAACATGAAAGGCACTATACAAATTTAACTTTGTATTGTATTTTACCACTATTTCTCTGATTAGCAGACCAACCATATGTAAAATTAAAAAAAAGCACAAGAAACTGCACGAGGTATGAAGCTCGTAAATCAGGGTCAAATAAAATTAACCTTCACTGCACCCAATAACCTTTAGTTATAAAAAACACAGGTATGTTTCTTTCCCTTGTACATTTTTCAGAATTGATGTTCTGCAGAAACAAAATACTGAATGCTACCAAATTGCAATGAAAACAGTACAATAAACTGAAATCAGCTAACTCAGCACAGATTGAACCTGCAACGTTCTGGTCTGTACAGTTTAAATAATTCTTGTTTAACAGCAGAATTCTTTGTGTTTCAAGAAACCTTAACTTGAATTGAAGCAGAGAGCGGAGCTCAGTGTTCATTTCCCACTCCTGCTAACACAGTAAATTCCATTGTTCAGTGTGTTCACACAAAGAAGCTGATTCACAGATTTACTTCAAGAATAATTAACAAACCCAATACGTGTCACTTGCCCTTGCATCATGAAGCTTACAGTGGCAAATTACCGATACCCTGGTTAATTATGCAAGGGATCTGAGTGTGAGAACAACTTAACAGTGTACTAGTTTGATTTCTGCTGAGAGTTAGAGAGGTGTATATAATAACCATATTTTATGGCTCAGTCCTGGATTAGGAGAATGTTGAAAAATACAAATACCCACCACTCCCCTTACATTGTGTTTTCTACATATACATGTTCACCTATGAATATGGCATGTCACAGAAAAGCTCTGTGAGATGCTTTGAAATATTTTGACATGATAAGGTGCTATACCAAAGGTAAGGATTATTATCATTTTCTGAAAACAATTCAGCTTTTTAAGGAGATACCTAAGCCAAGACTTACCAGTAGAGAGGGAGAGAAAACTGTAGTGTTTTCTGTAGAGGGGGGCAGGCTGGAAGTTGACTCCCAGCCTGCTCTTGGCCACTGAATAGCAGTATCAACTAAAACCCACAGCTGGCTGCTTGCCTCACCTTTCAGTCAGAGTACATGGCTCGCGAACAGCGTTAACATTAACAATGAATAATGACCTATGACTTATTTCATTGATGATATTGATTTGTGTTTACAGGCGAATGTTCCCAGCGATGAGAGTGAAGATCACAGGCCTTGATCCTCACCAGCAGTATTACATAGCAATGGATATTGTCCCTGTTGACAATAAAAGATACCGGTACGTCCCACAGAGGAACACAATGGCAGTCTGTTGAAAGGGTAGCACTGTGAAACTTGCCTCCTGCTCTGGTTAGGCTGTAGCTCCTCCAATGAAACATTAAACCAAGATCATGTTTGCTTGTTCATGTAGCATTAAAGATCCACTGTTATTCAAAACGGGAAAGGAGTTTACCCCAGTGTCCTGGCCAACAGTTTCCGGATAACATTAGTCATACACTTCACGGCTGCATGTAGGACATTGATAAGTGCAAGTTGGCTGCACATCAAAATCATTTGTTTTCAATGAGGATTGCTTCTGAGGGCATATTACAGATATCCACTATATTGACTGGCAGTTGCTAAATTTTATGACATACACAGGACTATTATATATTTGTTCTTGGCACAAACAGCCAGAAAAATCTATTTAATAAACATTACAAATAATAAATCTGTTTTTATAAAATCTAATATATGAATTAAGCTTCAAACTACAAAATTCCATTTGGTCCATTTACTGATATCAAGACATTATAATGAATGCTGCATGCTTACATTTTATGGTGCATGTTTGATGCCAGATTGCTGTTGTTTTGATGATAATTTGCCGCAAAGCAAAAGCATTGCAGTGTGAAATCAGGGTTGGGCTAGTATAATAATAATAATAATAATCCTTGCATTTGATATAGCGCTTTTCACGTTTCCTAGACGTCTCAAAGCGCTTCACAGAATATGCTGTAAAGTGAATTGACTGTATATTTGTGGGCAAAACCACGTTGATGCCTCCTACCACCCAGAAGAAGGTGTTATATAGGAGCAGGAGGGGGGCCATTCAGCCGATCAAGCTTGTTCAACCATTATATAGAATCACAAGAAAGATTTTTTAATCCTATTTTCCCGCCTTTCTTTCTAGTCCTTTTATAGCCAGCTCAGCAGGTATCTATCTCTCTTTTAAACATCCCAATGGGATTTGCATCTGGGAGCATATTTGCCCCCCACAGGAGAATAGGAACTGTGGGTCCAATTGATATCCCTTCCACTCCACCACGCCCTACTGATTGAAACCTCTTTCATGGAGCAGAGTTTCCATGGGGTTGTATTTAGTACTGTATTGCTAAAGACCTGATCACTCAACTGGTTGTTTACTAGCTTTAAAGATTATAAAACCCAATCATGCTCATGCACTGTATCCCAATGTGCCACAGTGAGGTATTGGAAGTATTCCCCAGTCCACATTACTCCACTGCTGGAAACAACATTGCTTTGTTTCTCCCAAAGAGCCAGTTGCGAGACTGGCCTTTCATTAACATTAAAGATTGGAAAACTCAATTGTGAGTTCTACTCATTCACTGTGCCCCCAAGTGTGATACAAGGAGGAAGGGGAAGTATAAATCTGGGTTTCCTGGTCAACTGCTGGAAGAAGCAAAGCCCTGGCAGCATAAAATTAGAACAAATTGTCATGTAACAACAACAACTTGCATTGATATAGTGCCCTTCATCCGTTCTTGAGTGCTTTGGGACGCTACACCTTAACATATCTCCAATTCACAGATCGATGAACTATTTTAATGTATTGTGTCAATTAATGCCTTAAGATACACTTGATGTTTTTGATGTCTGATATGTCATGAATTCTAACTGGATTCCTTAGAAGGGATTCTAAGTGAGGACTCCAGTCAATAACTAGACTTACATCACAGGACACAGAGACCTGTGATTACCCCACTCCCACAGTACATCAGTACATGGGGAAATGAACCAGGGTTCTAGAGACTTTTGATTGCTATTCAGCAACCTCTACTGAAGGGGAAAGCAGGTTCGAGCTCAGCTGCACCCGTAGAACGACCTGCCACCACTTACTGTTGAGAAGTGCAGATGAGGAATGATCCCTTGGGGGCATGTACCAAAACAGCCACTATCAATGGAACTGTACCAAACACGAAGAATAAGATGAAAAGAATCAGAAACTGAAGACAAGAAAAAGGGAGACAGTGGAAGCAGAAAATGTGGATTGTTTCAAGAAAAAATTAGATTGATTTCTGCCAGAAAATAATATCGGGTTACAGTAGTTTGGGACACGACATGTCAAGCGACTGCAAGGTTGATAGATGGCGAGCTAGATGGACCTTGGTCTTCTTCGCCTAGCAAATTCTTATGTTCTTATGTTCTTAGAATCTGTCAGGAAGAAGGGAGAGAAAACAAGTTTTTTTTAAAAAAAAGAAATCCCCCTTCCTTTAGCTCCAAAAGTAAAAAGTTATTATTTGGGCTCATTATTGGAAGGCAAATATCATGCTTGCCATAGAATTGTGTGGTGAAATATTATTCCTAAATCACAATTATGGGCAATGAGATTAAAGAGGGTGATACCCTGCATTGAGTATCAGACCTTGAAATCATATTTGTTTTCAACAGGTTCCTCTCACACCAAAAAACATAAAACGATCAGCTCAAAGGTCATGATATTTGCTACTTTTGGTTTACAATTACGTGGATATAAAGCTCAAAATCCAATAGCTTGCAAAGTATTGAAAATATGCTGGGTACAATAACCCATAGTTATGTGGTTCTACTGTATACTGGAGAGCGTTGAAAGAATTTAGGTCGTGAAAACACGGCTGGTTTGCAGTGAAGATATTTGAGAATTAGTGTGCATACAAGTGACTGTTATCAGTTTGTCTATAGGCAGGTAATGAAGTTCATTATATGCAGGCACACAGGTGGACATTTCTGTGTATGTATATACAGGCAGTGCAGTTGACTGCACAGTATATGTATGGATACAGACAGCACACATGTCTATTTAAAGAGTTAGTGCATACATAATATGGCCAGGATAAATTCAGACATTGAAATGACACTTGACAATGAGTGTTTTCCTGATAGGTTATATCTGTATTGTGTTTTTACCCACCAATGGAAAGAATTAAAGTAAATTTAACTAGCGTCCCTTATGGAAAGAGACTGTGTAAGGTAGATAGGAAGACGATTGAAATTTTAATATTTCAGCAGAACTCCTTCACATCCAAACTTTTATTGACTGATATTTATCGACCTGTTCACTGAGTACAAGTGCGTTTTTATTATTGTTGTAGTCTTATTGCTGGATCAGTTCACACCCACACAAAGACAGACCAGTTAAATTTACTTTTCAATCGTTTACATAATTTATTTTTTAAACAATTTTTAGTTCCTGTATCGGGCACAGTACTGTCAGCCTCTATGACATTGGTGGCTGAAATCAAGAAGGCATTCCTGAGCCTCACTTTTTATACTTCTTTATTCCCTCAGTTCTTCCTATCTACCTTACACAGTCTCTTTCCATAAGGAACGCCAGTTAAATTTACTTTAATTCTTTCCATTTGTGTATAAAAACACAATACTGATATAACCTATCAGGAAAACAAAGATAGACTTTGTTTAGCCTTCAGTTTAAAAAAACGCCCAATAACTTGTGCTACTAATTTCTTTCTGCAGATACGTATATCATAGTTCCAAGTGGATGGTGGCTGGCAACGCAGATTCGCCTGTCCCTCCTCGGGTTTACATCCATCCAGATTCCCTGGCTTCTGGTGACACGTGGATGCGACAAGTCATCAGTTTCGACAAACTCAAACTGACAAACAATGAGTTGGACGATCAGGGACATGTACGTAAAATAAGCACGTGTGTCTTAACTGCAACTGACTGGTCAGCTCAGGCCAGAGCCAAGCTGATATTGCATAATTGTTAAAGAATTGAGCTGATTTACCCACTTTAACAAACTCATCTGTTTTAGTTTAATTGCAGTTGATGGGGTACATTCAACTTATAAGAACATTGTACATAATTCCTAACATTTCATTTGAGTTACAAATTTATAGATATACCAATGGTTCTCAAACTAAACTGATTCTGAAGAGAGAAAGATCACAATTTTTTATGCTGCAGACATAATAATATCTAGCCTTCTAAGGGAATTCATTTTTTCACGTCTGCCAAAAAAAACTTTAATCGGGAAATTAATCGATTCAGTGCCTGTGCACACTCCTGCCAATAATCTCTAGATCAAGTCCATATTTTTTCCGAATGTTGTCAGTAAGACTACAAGTATAGCCATTCCTCTTGTATGCAAAGTCGAGTTATAAGAAACTCTCTGGTCTTTTATCCTTCATGGTATTCCACCAAATAGCCACATTTTTCTTAATGTACATTGCTCTATGTTGTGTACAAGGCAGATTGTGGAGTCCTGTAGCTCAGTGGTTAGAGCACTCGCTTTGCAAGCGAGCGACCCGAGTTCAATTCCAGGCAGAGGGCGAAACCTTGGGCAAGTTTCCTTACACCACACGCCTAATAATAATCCCTCCAAAACCAAAAACAATAATAAATTGGTCATTTTCAATCTACGAGTGTTTGTGGGACATTGCTGTGCGCAATTGGCTGTCGCGTTCGCCCACAAATATACAGTCAATTCACTTTACAGTGTGTTTTGTGAAGCGCTTTGGGATGTCCTACCGACGTGAAAAGCGCTATATCAAATGCCATGATTATTATTATTATTATTATTATTATTATATTTTAGTTCATAAGCCATGCAACACGTCAACAAATTAGTTGCCAACAAACTGTATAAAATGTACAGAACTTAGGTTTAAAACAGACACATGGTCCATTTTTTAACCCCGAAATTTTTTAAAAAAAAGTTAAAGGCTAGTAAAAGGCAGTAAGTAGATATAAGCTGGAGCTGCTTTGCACCCAACGATGGTACCAAGCCCTCCAAGGTCAAACATAGCACAGACCAGATGTGATCCAAGCCTCCCACACCTACAACAGTTCTCAGCCCCAGCTTCAGAAGAACACTGTGTACTGTGCCAGTGGGACTTTCACATTCCCCGTACTTTTTCTAACTGTGTCCTCCAAAGGCATAACTCTCCGATTAATGCCACTCAGTGCCAGAGCTGTCGGCAGTTTTGTGTTGTGGATTTATGTCCATTGGGAACTGGGTTGAGACACTCAAACTCCATTCCCCTCAGCAGCCATTAGAGGAAGGAAACTCTTATCCCCAGTGCATCAAGTGGATTTCATTCCAGGCACAAGAGGTGAAAGGGCAGTGCACCACCCAGCCCTCACATGATGTACTTATTTAGAGCTGCATATTAACATTTTATGTGTGATTTCACATGTAATAACAAACTCTTGCAGGCTTCCGCTCAACTGCATTAGTTTAACATTAGAAATCAAATATTAGATTGTGGCAATTCTTTTAAAGGTATATGAATACCTGGCAGCTAATTATAGTCAAATCTATAAACAGAATAATAGAAATGTACATGAAAAATACAAAATGTGCCTTCATTTTCTGAAGTCCTTACTGGTACCAAGTGTGAGAAATAATTAGTACTTTGGGTATCTGTCTATTTAGAGTTGGCTTGAGACTTAACAAACTTGTTTCTCATAAGGCTATTAACACGATTCAGAGAAAGGAAAGTTTAATATGCTTTCTCTGGACTGGATTCCATCCTAACACCCAAAGGGAATGAACAATATTAAAGAAACTGACCACCTCATCTTTCATCACATTATTCCATTTGTCTGGGGCTAGATTCAAATCCAATTCATTGATATGTGAGGGTTATGTTCTAACTAACAAAACGTGCCACTTGGGTCCACTACCCAAACAGAATGACCCCTTTAATATTGTAGGCTGGATTTGGCTTCCAGTGCTTGAGGTGCAGGAATAGCATGTTTTATTAACCAGTGCCCCACACATCCCAGAATGCAGAAAATGCCTTCATTCTGTGTCTGGGATGAATTAGAATCTCGTCGCAGAAGTGAAGCAATAATGTTCCAGTGCTCTTTGCCAGATACTGCTCCTAATCCATCTGTCTGCTAGAAACAACCCAATATCGTAACGCAGTCCCAGGCATACGATAAATGTATAAAAACGTAAAACGTTTTTAATGGATAGATTCCATTTTGGCACCATTCCTTCACCGTTCATTTTAGAGTGACGATCCATTCTGTCTTGTGTTGTTGTAGTTACCTGGAGTCTGTTTTCATTCACTCTGATACTGAATTGATGGGCTTTAAATTTGAATCTCAGATCTACTCCATTAGGAATGTTTCTTCTGTTCGCAACTACAGTATATGTTGGTCAAGTGTCTATCTGCTCACCCAGCATGCGCCACTTGTTGTTTGGATAATAAGTTTAAAGAAGCCCACAATCAATCTCCACCACTCCACCTTCTGTAGGAGGCAGCAAAAAACTTTTCTCAGGATAGTTGAGGAATATATGCAATATTGCGTTACTTCAAGCAGAATGGGGTTGTCGAGTGCCTTCTCCTCTCCCCCAATGATAATGTTCAACCCCCGGGGTCAGTCCTCCCAACCACATCTACTTGGTAGTGAATTCAACACTGAAAATATGTTTACTGAAAGTTGGCATTCCATGGGATATGGCCTGAGAACTCATTTCAGACAGATATCGTGCAGCCAACAGATAGAAGAGGTTTTCATCCCACCAGTTTGGGGGTGGATTTTAAATCACATCCTGGTCATAAAAGGTTATACAGTCACCCCGAAAATACAGTCCATTCACTTTACACTATATTCTGTGAAGCGCTTTAAGAGTGTCTCGACGATGCGATAAAGCACTCTTATCAAATGCGACAATTATTATTATTAGTTTGCTAACTTGATGCAGCATCCAAATCTCTTCAAATTTGGAATGAATGCAGATCGTAACATTCAAATTTTCTGACGCTTTGTGTCTTTCATCTGTTAATAGCTTAATTGAATCAATCACAAGCGCTAGACGTGGTACCATAAGTTCAAATCCCAGTGGATTCCACACCAACCTGTAAACAAAATGAGCACATTGCCTCTACATTGTTCTTGGTTTATTGATTGGGGGATGGAGGGGGGGGGGAGAGAGATAGAGGAGATAAACTAGCTCTAAGGAGAAATTCCTGTCAGATACAGAACAGTGCCACCCAAGGCGTTATTATTGGTGGCTGTCCAACCCTGTCTGATTCATCAATCAGACTCAGATGTCCTCAGTCCTTCAGGGTAACTTTCTGAGGGACAGCCAGTCTCAGTTGGATAGACATCACATGCTTTTGTACTGGTGACCTCATAAGAGAGAAATTAAAATTCAGTGCATCTTGGAACCAGAGAGACATGGTTTGGACAGTGCTGATTGAAATAGTCAGATCCATTTTTTTTAAAAAAAATATATCACATCTGCGCCAATTTGTATATTTCCATTTCCTCCATGAGTCAGAGGTATCCAAGATCCCCTTTAATGTGCATTCCAAATGTAACCCCAGAGACACATGGACGTCAAACTGCCTCACCAAATGGTGGTCAGGCTGGCAACTAAAAACACTGAGACCGAATCCTGCCAGTGGTATGCACATAGTGGTTTCTATTTGAAAGACGCAGATTAGCGATGGCTTTAGTTCAGTTATCCGACACTGGGGGCTATTTAAATCCATGACTTCAGCAAACCTTTTAATCTGCTGCTGATCAGATCACCCACATTTGATACAGTTCGATACTGTGCACTTGCAAACTTGGACTTGTATGGGTCTCCATCACAGCTGTGCAATTGCCCCCAAGTGATTGCATTTGTGTGTCCTGTTGTGTTCCTGAAGGATCGAACATCCCAACGGATTGATTTGCTTTACCTGCGTTTTAACGACCCCCCCCAACCCCTCGATGTGCAGATAAAATATACGCTCATTCAACCATATGCACCAGTGTAGGAAGCATTAGAGGTCCACACGTCTGTCAGATCTGCGAGGAGTGCACGTTTGTGCATGTGTTTATTTGTAATACTATTTATTGTATGATGCAGAAAAGAGGACACATTTAGGGCAGATTGGCAGTAATGCCCATCACCATTTAATCACATACCTCGGGGGGAGAGAAACTCACGACCTTTGTCCAAAAGGAGACATTTTATTCTATGTAATCTTTTGTTTTGTTTACCCAATTTATCTTTTTTTCCTTTACCGCCGGATCAGCTGTGAGTTTGGAAGAAGGATGAAGCTAACATGCTAGACCTTTTTTTTTCTTTTAAAAAAGATTATACATATACAGAGGTAAAAAAAATGTTTTTGATGTGGGGAAATGCATCGGTTGCCACCTTCTAAAGTTTCGTTTCTTGCAGATTAGCGCACAGGGTAAACATTTACTGTGTGTGTATGTGTGTGTATGTTTCTGTATGTGTGTGTATGTGTGTGTGTGTGTGTGTATGTTTGTGTATGTGTATGTTTCTGTATGTGTGTGTATGTGTGTGTATGTTTGTGTACGTGTGTGTGAATATGTGTTTGGGTGTGTGTTTGTGTGTGTGTATGTTTGTGTATGTCTGTGTATGTATGCTTGTGTGTGTGTGTGTGTATGTATGTGTGTTTGTGTATGTGCATGTGTTTGATGTGTATGTGTGTATGCTTGTGTATGTGTGTGTGTGTTTCTGCATGTGCATATGTGTGTGTGTGTATGCTTGTGTAAGTCTGTGTGTGTATGCTTGTGTATGTGTGTTTGTGTATGTGCATGTGTTTGGTGTGTATGCTTGTGTATGTGTGTGTGTGTGTGTGTATGTTTGTGTATGTGTATGTTTCTGTATGTGTGTGTATGTGTGTGTATGTTTGTATACGTGTGTGTGAATATGTGTTTGGGTGTGTGTTTGTGTGTGTGTTTGTGTGTATGTCTGTGTGTGTATGCTTGTGTATGTGTGTTTCTGCATGTGTGTGTGTGTGTGTGTAGAGCTATGGGAAGAGTAATTGTCTTGTATGTCTTCTCTCTCTCTCTCGCTCTCTATCTCTCTATCTTCCCCTTCCCCTTCACTCGAAACAGATAATTCTCCATTCGATGCACAAGTACCAGCCCCGGGTGCATGTGATCCGAAAGGACTTCAGCAGTGAGCTGTGCCCGACCAAGGTGGTGCCTTCGGGGAGCGGCGTCAAAACCTTCACCTTCCCAGAGACTGTGTTCACCACAGTGACCGCTTATCAGAACCAACAGGTACTCAACTGCACTATCACAACACACGCCACATTTTCCACAAATGCTTAGAAAAAAATATATATACCTTTACAGAGAGAGAGAGAGAGAGAAAATGAGTGTGTGGCTTTAAACTGATTGGTGGGGTTTATGTACTTTATTTCTTCCCCCCCCACAAAAATTTTTTTTTGATATGTTTTGTTTTTGAACCTCTTCGTAAAATGTGAATCTATTTATTCGAATATCTCCACAAATAAAACTCCGCAAATTTCCTTTCTGGAAATTGGGCTGCTGTCTGTCTCGTTTTGATCCGAAATAGTATTGAAAGCAGCAAACAACGTGTTGTCACTGAACAAGATGTACACACTTATTTTCAGAAGCATTTTTTTTTAAAAAAAGCTTCCCATGACATCAATAACTGCAATAATATTATGCATAGAAAATGTAATTGTTTAAAACAGTTCACCTATTCCATTAATGTTTTGCAGTGAGTATTGGAATTTGTTTCAGCACATCACTGTTCCCACAGAATATACAGTCAATTGACTTTATAGTATGTTCTGTGAAGCGCTTTGACTGATAAGGCGATATATAAAATATGAGGATTATTATTATAATTTTTATTTTGCCGGCATTTTTCTCTCTCGGGTGCCTTTATCCCATAACTATATTTAACGATTCACTGAAACGAGCAGATACCCAGCTTCTTTAAAAAAAAAGAGAGAATAAAACAGGCAGTAAAAAAAAAGCTTAGTAAATGCAGACAGTTTTGTTGGCCTTTCACTGACTGCAGTGACGATTTACAAGGCGGTAATGAAGGATATCCAGCAAACTTTAAAACGTTCTTTTCCCGAGACAAACTCTGCAAGAACTTTACAATTTTTTTTCAAAAAAAAGAAAAGAAAAGTGGAAGAGTTAAAAGCCAACCTAGCTCTTGTCAGCACGAGTTAATCCTCTGGTTGATCAAACTTCCCATGCTGTTTGTCAGCTTGTTGCTGACTCCTCTCATTGAGTCTCAGTCAAGTGCAGAGCAGGTTTGTGCAGTACTATATGTCAGAACAAATCTGAATATTGTGGATCCAATATTCATAAATATTAACAGTGTCAAAGATATATATATTTCAAATGCAACGCACACACGATTATAGCCGCAAGTCAACAGGGTTTATTTTCCCATTTGCAAACAGTATGTATTTTCTCACTGCATAATCTTTTTTTTAAAAAAAGTGTATCTCACTGACTTGCTTGGCGTTTGAGGTCAATGCAGCACTTTTTTTTGTAAAACAAAACATAATCGCCCCGATACCTGAACACGTTTTGACTGGTGCCCGAATATCGAGTTCAAATGGGAAATAACACTCGCAGATTTGACGGGAACTCTTTGGTTAAAAAAAATCTGAAGACAATTCATAACATCATAAAATGTCAGATATTTATCCTGAACATTACGCTGCAAAAAGAAAATTCATGTAAATATTAGTATTGTTCTGTGTATATTCCAGGTGCACTTTGTTCAGATATGAAGCCGCATATTCTGTTATCAAACTCTGTATTTTATATATATATATACATATATATATTTAAACAAGCTTTGATAAAACAATTTAAATTTTAATATTTTAGTATCAATTAAACTACATTTTGAAGACGGGGTAATGTTTTTTCCCCCCAGTGAGATTATTTTCTGCTCTGTTCAATGTCATTGAAACCCTATTTACAATTCAGATCATATTTACGCCCTTATTTTTGGGTGTTGCCAAAGGGAAATATTGTATTCATTATAACCCTGACTAATTGAATTGTTTTCCTTCTGTTATCTGTCTAACCTCGCTCAAAAGATGAGATTCGACAATAGCTGGGATTCAGATCGCTTTTAGATTTTAACCTGTTAGTGTTCAGCTCTGGTTTCTTGTCAATAGTAAATACATATACACACACACACACACACACACACACACACACACATACATACATACATACATACATACATACATACATACATACATACATACATACATACATACATACATACATACATACATACATACATACATACATACATACATACATACATACATCACTCCAGTAAACGGCTAGTAATAGTTTGGCTGACAGATCAATCAAATTAAAAGCCTTAAACATAACTGGCGGTTCCTCTAGCTGTTGCCTGTTAACATAAAATATATATTTTTAAATCCACGAAAAATAAATCTAAATTGTCCTGTGTCAAAACGCGCCATAGCCTATTCATACACGTAAATAGTAACGTAATAAAAATGTAAATGTAAATATACATGTTCTTCTTGTGACCAGTATTTTTATGGTGATGTGCTGATGTGCTGAAATCAGCCGCAAAAGCTTCCATCATCTGAAACTCTGAAGATGTTGGACTTTCTTGTGTGAAACTACTTTGAAGCGTTATAAAAAAGTTATATTACAGTACATTGCAAATAAAATGCATGTTTTTGTTTTCGCTTTGCAATACAATGCCGCATCTGTGTTGCTATTATCGTGCATAAGATTGCTTTCACATTGCCGGAAATATTCTTCTCTTGAAACGAGTGAATTTTATATAATTTAACCCCGATAATCTTTTTTTTGGGGGTGGGGGAGAGAGGGAGAATTTATTTGTACGTGTTTGCTTTTAAAACATTTAAATTCCAAACATTTTATCACAAAACCTGTCTCATCTCTTTCACTTCTGCTTATTGTTATTATTATTATCATTATTATTAATAATTTTAATGATGTTATTAAAACTTTATTCATATTATTAATTATATTATTATTGCTGATATTACTTGACACACTGTCTTATTTTAAGTGCCTTTATTCTCTCCTTCCGGCCAACTATTACAAAGCTGCACTTTCTTATTGCACTTTCTTCCGCAAAATGTGGTTTTCAGATCATTTTCCTGTGTTATTTCTCCAGATTACGAGACTGAAAATCGATCGCAATCCATTTGCTAAAGGATTCAGGGACTCGGGCAGAAACAGGTGAGAGAGTTTCACTGCTTCAAAACTGCTTCAGATGAAATTACATTTAAAAACAATCCATGGCACTTGATCAGGATAGCTGTGCTGCTCTGAAACGATTGCTGATAGATAGTTAAGAGTTTTTTTTATTTTTTTTAATTTAAAAAAAGGTTTTGAAAGCGAGCCAAAGTAAATCTATCAATGTGGGGTCCAGTTTCTCTTTTCACACGTTGAGATAAACTGACCCACAGACTTCCTCGGTCAATGCTTTACGAGTCATCTCAGTGCTTCTAGTGCTGGTCTCTTTCACAGTCAGAAAGAAGGAGGTATCTCTTTTAGCCATTGCAACATGTTTGAAAATAATTCGTACGTTTTAACATGTTTTCCGTATTCATATCATAAAGGAAGTTTGCAAAAAGGTAATGAGAAAGGTTGGTTTGCAACCTCCCCACCCCTAAAAAAAAAGAAAAGATAATATTGAAATACGTTTACAAAAATGAAATTCGTTTTGAAATAAATTTGAAAGAAAAAATTGCCCCCCCACAAAATCCCTTCACTCACTTTTTTTCTGGATTAATTTTGTGCTTTCAATTGTATGTAGTCATTTAATGTCCTATCATTTTTAAATGTGGCAATTATTTAAAATAAGGGTTGCCAAGATCTCTTGATTTATAAAATTGTCTCAGTTAGTCTTTTATTCAGTAATTATGTCATTTTATTGGTATTTTGCGTAACTAAATACAGTACATTTGTTTAAAACTTTTTTCTTTTGCCAATTTTTCTCCTGCAATTTTCTCCTCTTTCCCTCCTGGCCTGAAGGTTTTTTGACTATTTTAATTTGCCCTCCCTCTCCAATCTGCACAGGCACAGTTTCCATATACAAAATTCACTCCCTCCTCCAAGTGTAACCATTATTCATGTGTGAGACATGTCAGTGAATGCTGGGATGTTATGTGAATGCAGTACTGGGGCATTGCAGCCATTTCCAATATTGTACTTACTGCACGTCCCCAAGGGTGATCTTGTAAGAAGGTCCTCTTAATAACAATGAAGGCTCCTTGTTTGTAACCTAGACCAACTGTAGCTGCCTACCATTGCCTTGCTTAACAACAACAACAACAAATTACATTTGTATAGCGCCTTTCATGTCAAAAGGACATCCCAAAGTGCTGGACATTCAGGGATTTGGACCCGAGCTGGAGGTTAGGATGAGGAGGTGTGGAGGGCAGGAAGGAGGGTGATCAAAGGCCTGGTCAAAGAGGATGGTCTTGAGACAGGCCTTGCAGGAGTTAAGGGCAGCAGAGGGAGTGTGGGATGGACTTCCGAAGGGTGAGGCAAGAGAGACTGATGACTAATTTAGCATAAGCTAACTCAACATAAACTGGGATTTGAACTTGCAATTGGAAAACTGCAGCTGCCATGGCTTTACCATCAAACCATCAGAAGAGCTTGACTCAAAGCCCTAAAATCAGAATAAACCAACTTTTTACTCAAATAAAAACAAACGTTATAAGATCACACTTGTCATGCATGGCCTATCCACTTTGTGGTGCTTTGTTTTTGACAAACTATGCAGTTTTATTTAAACACTAAGAGTAATCTAGTATTTCTCCAGGATAAAAACAACGCATACAGTACTCCTGCCTCTCTCTCTTTCACACGCAAATATATTGGAGAAAATGGCACGTGGGTCATGAAAAGATTAGTCACTTTAGAGAGAGACAGGAATAACTACAATTTTATTATTGTAGCCAAAAAATACAGTGATTTGGGGGAAAGTGTTGATTCCAAATTTCATAAATTACATCTATTAACAAGATTTCTGATGATGTTCTCTGAATGTGTGCTAATATTCTGGCAGTTTTTTTAAATTAAAAGATCATATTATCATCTCATTCAGTCATCTCAAAGCGCTTCACAGAATATACTGCAAGTGACGTGACCTTTGTTTGTTAAGGTGAATGGTATCAATTCTGGGAAATGGAACCCATTTCCATTTCTTCACCTAATGCCCAGATAAGGCTGAGACACAAGAGCCTAATTTGCTGTATTTTTTAACAACATATCTCTTGAGTGTGTTAGAGACTTGTAATATACTCCAGTTTGACCACAACCCCAAAAGAATAGGTTCCTCTATTAGTATGTGTCTGCCACATTTCGCCCACAAAATATCGTCAATTCACTTTGCAGTATATTCCGTGAAGCGCTTTGAGACGTCTGAATGAGGTGATAAGGCGCTATATCAAATGCCAGGATTATTATTAGTAGTAGTATTGCAAATATACAATGTGATCTTGGAAGACAGATGGTGGTTGAAACAGTTTTTTTGCTATCTAACACCCTAATCCTATCATCTGCTGCAACAACCTTCCTGTACAACAGTAACAGTAGCAATCAGGACATGCAGCCTTTGCAGCAAGTAGCAGGGGAGCAGCAGGTGCCAGGAGATGATGCCCCTTCTCCTAGCCCAGTGGAGGCACAGATTTCATGCTTCTCTGTCAGATATGGAGTCCTGTAACATATTGGTTAGAGCACTCGCCTCGCAAGCGAGAGGACCTGGATTCAATTCCAGGGCAAGCAAAACGTGAGGCAAGTTTTGCTTACTCTACGTGCCTCTGTTTACTTAACAGTAAGTAGAACATGATTGGTGGCTCGCTTTTCTGGGGGGAATAATTCCTTCAAAAATAAAAATTTTAAAAATAATAATTTGGTGACTCAATCCATGACTGTTTGTGGGCCACTTCTATGTGCAATTGGCTGCCAAGTTTCACCCACAAAATATACAGTCAATTCACTTCACGATATATTCTGTGAAGAGCTTTGAGGCATCTCAAAGTCATGATATCAAGTGGAAGGATTATTATTATTATTAAATTATTATTAATGTTATTAATTGAAATCCCAGAATCATGCCCTGACAGAATGAGCTTCACAGCTTGTCGGCAGTGCTTCAGGTCAGATCACTGAAGGACACACAGCACTGTAGTTCTGGGAAGGAGAGAATGTTGTGAAGACTTCTCCCACCTCTTCTCCATAAGCCCTTAAGAAAAAAAAACAATAATAATTTGGTCACTTCAACCCACGATTGTTTGTGAGACACTGCTGTGTGCAATTGGCTGCCGTGTTTCGTCCACAAAATATACAGTCAATTCACTCTACAGTATATTCTGTGAAGCGCTTTGAGACATCTAGAAGATGTGAAAAGCACTATGTCAAATGCAAGGATTATTATTATTTACTATTACCTCATAAATATGTCTCTCAAACATCGGTGGATGTGTATTGATGGTGGGTAGTACTGCAGGGTCTGCAACCTCTGATGTGTGGAAACAGGAGGCGAGAGCTGGAAATGTAATAGAGGAAAAGAAATGAGAAAAACCTGACCCAAGTACAAGAACATAACAGTGGTGATTATCCAGGTATTGGTAAACTTACATACCTTAGTGGGCAAAACTGTTTTGTTCTCCACTGGATATCCCATTTGACACAGTGGAGTCCCGTAGTGTAGTGGTTAGAGCATTCAGCTCACAAGTGAGAGGACCTAGGTTTGATTCCCAGGCAGGGTGAAACCATTGGCATGTTTCCTTACTCTACAAGGCTCTGTTTACCTAGCATTAACTAGAAACCTGATTTTAGTCGATTGGTGTCGCTCTCCGGGAGTAATATTCCTCAAAAAAAATTACTCAATCCACGACTGTTTGTGGGACACTGATGTGCGCAATTGGTTGCAGCATTTTGCCCCAAAATACAGTCAATCCAATTTGCAATATATTCTGTGAAGCACTTTGGGACGTCTCATGACATGATAAGGCTCTATATCAAATGCAAGGATTATTATAATAATTAAACTGAAAACTCACTCGATGAAAGTCAGTAAATTTACTAAGAATCTCAGTCTCAGCCCCGTAGCATTATGTACTTGGTTCATGAAGTCACCATTGGAAGAGTTTCCAATTTCCATTCTATTAATATGGAAAAAAATCCTGTTTTCTTTCCCCTGTTTCATTCTGCGTTACGTCAGAAAAGAAACTATTTTGACTTGGTTCATAAATCAAGGTTTTAGAATCAGGGGACTTGTGTTTTTCATTATTTTAGAATCAGTCTCATTGGGATTTACCGCTGTCAGTCAAAACTTTGGTGCTGTGCTTGTGTAGAGTTGGTATATGATGGAACAGCTCAACTATGCTTAAGTGAAAAATTCATACCTGTCTCTTCTGTCTTGTGGAAAATGTTTATTAATTTCGCACTTTTATATAGCGTCAAATCCTCAACTGGATCACTGACCTTTACATAAAAGCCACATTACTAAAAAAGAGAGAGAGAGAAGACTATGATTTACAACTTACACTATGAAACCTTTGAAAAATTATTTTGTTAGAAAACAGTACGGAAATTATGTTGAAAAATGCTTTTACGGACTCCCACCCATCATATAAATAAAGTTTGCTTACTAAAGAGCAAGCTAAATTTGAGCATGGTTTAGTAATTTTTTCCAAAGAGTTTGAATAGCTGTAATGTTTAATTATTCTTTCAAATAAGAAATATTTACCATGCCTCCTTCTAGTTCAGGGCCATTTATGAATGGGCAAATTGGAGTATTATTTTATTTCCCCAGTGGAATCCAGTAGCGAAACTCTCTTGGAACCATTTGATTGCATGGTTGAGTCCCCTAGGTTTCCTCTCACACATGCTCAATTAAGATGAAATAAAGGAGTAATATTTACCTCTGTTTACCGCAGTTTAAACAATAAAGTTTATATTTTTAGTTTGAGATGCATGAAACACATCTTTGGAGGACAAGTTTGCAGGGCTATGAGGTGAGCGCGGGGAAGTGGGATTCATTTGAATAGCTCTCACTGTATAATTCTATGATTCTATGATCTGGCTTTATTTTCAATTGGAATTAAATAAGTATGTTGTTCTATCACTCCTTCCAATTGTCTTTTTGATCATGCGAGAGAGGACTATCTAGTAGCGATCAGTTGGTTAGAGACCACTGGCTCAGAGTGAGTTCCAGTTTTTCCCAAATTGCCTGCTGGATGGGGTATCAAGTATCATCGTGGAATCCCATTTGAAATCACCATGTTTGAGACAGGGAAAATTGAGTAAAGTTTAATAATAAGTACAGGACAATTTGTTGGTCATGTGACCAGCACTACTCTTCACACCAAACCAGATCCAAATGAAAGTAATAGTTTGGTGAAAGTAATTATTTTGAAGAAAAGGTGTACCTTTGTTTTGTTATTAAAACCTGCCAATGTTACTGGGTTATACTTCCATCATAACATATGGTTAATATGGTTTTGTCAGCAAAAGCAACAGAAAAGAACATGCCAAGGTTTACAATGAAGAATATTCAAATAACAGCTCATAAAAGTCTGCAGCTCTTCTCAAACCCAACATAGCTAAGGATACAAAGAGACATTGGTTTTAATATCCATCATAAGATCCATGCAGAACCAATTATACAACGAATATTGCAGTGATCTTTCGCTGTTAAACCAGTAAATGAATTACAACCAGCAGAATCTTTATTCCCTAGAAAGGAAAGTAACCAAAACACAGAGAAAGGCTTTTTGTTACAAAAGCGAAGATGGCTTTTATCAGATGTCAATGTACAAAAGTTAATCCTTTTCTGATGTATAATAGTTAGCCATTGATACCTGAGGCTAACCAACCAAGCATTAGTTCAGAACAATCTGAAGCTGCTTTGATTAAAAAATAAACCCAGAATACCTTAGGATGCATCAAGACAGTAGAACACATATAGGCATATAGACAGTAGAACATATAGGCTAACAGTTGCAAATAGTATTTTCAGGACAGTCACAAAGAAGATTTTCTTTACTCAGAGAGCAATTAAAGGCTGGAACGTGAAGTTACTTGGAGTAATATGGTACTGAAGAAGCCATTAAGCCCAACTTGTCTGTGCCCTCCACAGACAAGACCCCATCCTGCTTATTTCCCTAACCTATTCACTTCTCCCTCAGTTAACTGAGAAAGAAAAACTCCACACAGCAGAATTATTGCATTTCCTCAATCTTTTAATGTCATAATAATTTTGAAAATCTGTACTGTCGAGGGTCTGAGATGCCGTCCAGCCTGAAGGGTGCTGTATAAACGCAAGCTGTTGTTGTTGTTGAGGCACTTGACAATATCAACAACCCTCATTATTCCATCAAGACTGGATGTTGTGCCAACGCTGATTGGCAAATGCTTAATATGAGAAAAGACTAAAATATTCAGGGGAAAAGAAAAACCTACAAAACTACTTTTAAGACAGATTAGATGTCCACCTGGCTCAATTGGAAGCACTCTTGCCTCTGAATCAGAAGGATGTGGGTTCAAGCCCCAACTTGTGACTTTGAAATCACAGACCAGTTAGGCACTCCAATGCAGTGGTGGAAGAGTACTTTATCGTTGGAGTCATTAAACTGAGATCCTGTTCGCCTGATTAGGTGGACATTAAAGATCCCATGGCATTACTTGAAAAGAGAAGGGAACTCCACTTGGTGGCCTGGTCAACAATCCCCCAAATAAAATGGGTTACTCACTTCATAGCTATCTGTGGAACATTGCTGTGTGCAAAGTGGCTGCTGCATTTGCTTACAAAACACAAAGTCCCTGCATATTACAGTGAATCCTATGAAATGGTTTCAGACATCCTCCTGATGTGAAAGGCGCTATATGAAATGCACGGATTTTTTTTTATGATTTTGGCACCTCTCATAATTTTCCTTGTACAGTAGCATGTGCCTAGCTTTTCCCAGTATTGTCGCACTTTCAAAGAACGCTTTGTGTAACTGATCCTTCCTGTTATGTGGTATTATATAATAGACGACATTCTTAATGCTTTAAAATACTGTTCCTGTCATTTGATGGGTCTTCATAGAACCAATTGTGAAGTTGACAATCAGTTTCCATATATTGCCTGATTTAACAGTGTTGAATACTGATAGGGTATCAGGGCTCTGCTGAGTAAATAGACCACTTTGACTTCACTCTCTCTCTTGGTTTTGTAATATTGTTGGCATCTTTTGAATTTGTTAGAGACTTGGAATATGCTCCAGTTTAATTGCAACCACAAAAGAATAGTGGGTCCTAGACTAGTAACACACATGTACAGCAGGGAAGCAATAATAACTGTGTTGAAATGTCTCATACTCTTTCTAAGCCATTCTTTTCTCGCATCTTAGTATTCCTAACCTCAGTCTTCCTTTCCTTCTTACTCCAGCTGGCAGATAATAAAAGGTTTGTCATCATCTAACCACTATTTCCTTCATTTACATCACCATCTCTCCTACTCTTTTCATCCGTGGTGGTGCCCTGTAATACATCCCTCATGCCTTCACCTAGGTTTCTCAAAGAAAAAAATACAGAATTGTGAATTGAATAGAGCTTTGATGGGATAGATGGCGATGAGAGTAAATCTACCTGTTCAACAAGGGCTAGAAACAAAGTGGCACATGAGAACTGTGCAGAGACAAACACAGAAATCCTCAGGGACTTGTCTGGAGAAACACAAACAAGAATGAGAATCAGTCTGCAAGAAAAGATGTTCCAGGGCTGACTTTGATTAAAGACAGATTCAGTCAAAGCATACAGCTACAAGAGTCATGAACACACAAGTTTTATGCATGGATGAGTTTTTGTGTTTGAAGTACTGTACTTTGAAAGGAAATGTCTCAGGTTATCACAATGGACATTTAGCAGCTATTTTATTTGAACACTATAATTGGTAATTGGTACATAGAGGAGGTATAAGGTACTGAACAGTCTTGTGTGATCAACCCTTGCATTTATATGATACACTGCCATAGCTACTTTTGTAGTTTCGGTAGAATATATAATATCTGGCCATATTTTACTGGGTGGTTTGAAACTTGCTATCATTCTTCTATGGCAAAACATTTGCATTCAGAAACTAGTGCTAGATACGTGGCCTCGGAGAGCCGTATAGCAGTAGCATGTCACATCTGGCTTTCATTATATGGCAGAGGTGCACATAAGACACAAGCAACTGAATAAACACACGTGTGGGTTATCAGCAGCAGTTTATTTTTCCTTTAGCACTGCTTCCTCCCAATGCAAGCCACTAACCCACTAATGATTAGAGGCAGCCATACAGAATCTAATTGGATCATCTGCTTACTCCTTGAACAAAGAAAATCATGTCTTTCATACTGTTCCAGCCTCTTTTACTAATTTCTTTTACACCTCTCTGGCCAAGTCCTCAAGCCCTGATTGTCAACATTGTGGGTTCTGTTCTTCCTCCCGAAGTCTCACATTTATCTTCCACTCCGACAGTCTATCCTCTGCCTCTTTCACATCCTTGTAGCCCACCCTTCCTCTCTCGTTTACTTCTCTCTCCCCATTTTATATACATGAATAATAATCATCCTTGCATTTGAAATAAGCCTTTCACGTCAGGAGGATGTTTCAAAGCACTTTGCAAGATTTACTGTCAAGTGTTGTGCTGTGTATTTTGTAGGTGAATGTGGAGTTTAGTGTATTTTTGTAGAATTGAGCCAGAACTGTGCTTTCAGTGATCCCAGTTGCTATCCTGCGTGAAGGGCACGATATAAAGTGGTTGTTGTTGCCTTCCACCCAGTCTTAATTTAGAAGCCAGTTCTTTTCAATAATGGCAGAAAACTGGCTTCCATATTAAGAATGAATTAACACATTTCCACAATTCTGTGAGATCTTAAATTTTAAGAAAAAGTGGATCCTCGAGAGAAGTTAACATTTCAGGCCTCTGGTCACTATTTCGCACTGTATGCACTTTTCCCTGCTGGAAAGTGCATGTGTGTTGGCGTAGGGTGAAGTGAGGATCAGCCCTGATTGCAATGCTCAATGTGTTCAAGTTAGCCTGCCAACTCCCTTTGTGCAAGTGAAATTTATCTTCCACATTTATCATGGGATTTCCCTACTGTCTAAACTCAAAGACTGAGTATGGTCACTTGGACAGGGTATTGAAAGCCTTTCATGTCTACAGATCCATATGAGTCAGCCCCTTCAGGATATAGGTGAGATGAGAAAATTGTGGGAGGAAGGATTTCTAAAATAAAGTTTCTGTTTAAAAAATACACTGATTGAATTCATTCATAACTTCAGAACTCAGTAATAGGAGAATTCCAACCTACGTAATGGCTAAAGGGTTAACAAGCTGACAGCTAAGAATACATTTTGTGGGAAATGCTGAAACATAAATCTGAGTGAAACAGTGTGAGAAAAAAATGAAGCAGCTGGAAGTAGGACAAAGTGGAGATTTATGTACGTGTGAAAGCTGTACACAGTTATATTTCCCTTCTGGTTTCCTTTGATCAGGACTGGTTTAGAGGCCATCATGGAGACATACGCCTTCTGGAGACCTCCTGTTCGGACACTGACATTCGAGGATTTTACCAACATGCAGAAGCAACAAGGTAATGGACAAGAACCTTTCCCTTTTTTTTGTTCATCTCTCTTAAATTTCCCTGATTTTTTCCCCTTTCTCTATAAAAGCCATTCTCCCTTGCAGGGCTTACTTCAGATAGTTAAAGCACAGAGCTTTACAGGATGCACACTTTAAATGTTGTGACAACTGCTAATGTTGCCCTTTTGCTGTTTAAAAGCTCTTATCAAGTAATAGCACTGTTATTTCCCCCTTCCCACATGACAAACTTGTTTTCTGCAATGCATTCGCACATGTAGGATGTAGGACTACTACTTTAGTAGAAATAAGAGGACATATGTTTAGAATGCAAAGGGTGAGACAAGATGGGCCAATGAGTCTTATTCCTCTGAACTGATCTTATGAGTTTGTGGCTAAGATCAAGTGTGGTATCTGTTTGTATCAGTTACTCTTTGGGTTGTGCGCCTGTGTGCCTGTACTCTCCCTTTAAGGTTCAGTCGTGTAGAGATGCAGCGATCTAAACCTCCCTATAATTCATTCACGGGACACAGAGCTATTGTCAGGAGACCTATGCCCGCCCCTCTGTTGGCTGGGATTGAGAAGTCAGAGGCTCCTTTGACAATTTGGGACCTAGGTTAAGGGGGTGGGTGGGGAGGGGGGGCAACGGGTTGTTTGGGAGACAACCCTTGTTCCTGTTTGAGGAATGTGAATTGGTCTTATTCAACTTAGTGAGGCATGAGTGGGGCCTAACCTTGCTCACCAAAAAAAAATCATCTTTTGATTACTGCATTCCTTCAGTACCCCAAATGAGATACAACAGGCAACTTAGATTCCCAGTTTCGACAAATGAACAGACATGGGACCAAGTTCAGAACTACAGAGGTACAAAGATCCCAATTGAGCATTATGACTATTGACTTTTGGGAAAGTGTAATTTTCTGCATGGTTTGTTTGGTGCTTTGGGAGTTAAAAACGCGATAATATCACACGCCGTGTTCATTGCTCCTTCCCCCACTGCCTGTGACAAATTGGAAGAAAACACGTTCAGCTTTAAAAGATAAAACTGATCCCCAGTGTTACAAGGATGAGCTCTCAGATATTCTTAAATCAGCTAGGAGTGAAAAGTCTCTAAAAGAGATATCTCAGAAAATACCTGCTTAAGATATATAAGGTATTAAATAGGATAGAAAGAAATACGGGAAAATCATTCTCAGGAAGCCTAGAGGTAGCAAGACACAGGTCCAGAGCAGCGAGGAGCAGTTTTAAAATAGATTCTAGTAAGTATTTCTTTACACAGAGAACAAACAACTAGAATAAACAAAAGTTACCTTGGATGCTGGGATAAATTACTGTAAGCACATATATTGATGCCAAATGCACTTGAAACATAGAATGGTCAAAAGTTTGACCCTTAATGTTTAATGCTGTAAAGATGGTGTAAACAATACTCCCAAATGTCTGATGATGCCCAAATATAGATGTTGAGTATTCTATTCCAAGGCCAGATTAGACCTCAACTTTTGAAGGACAAGTGTGAGGCAATACAATCTTATTCCTCAAGATGCAATCCATTATTGCTATTTCCTTGCTGAACTTTATTTGTTGATATGCAGAAACAAGCACTTACTATCTTGTACAACATCCAAGACTCAGATGTAGATGTAAATTTCGGAATTAATGGAAGTAAAGTCTTACTACCAACTCTCATGCTCTTTGAGTGACCTACATACAATTGAGGTAAAATATTACAAAACAATACAAATGTGTATCTATATAACATCAGAAGAAGTCCCAAAGTGCTTGACAGCCCTGGCTAGGCATCTGAGCTGAGGATGAGAGATGAGAGAGAGGAACGGAAAGATGTTTGAAGCCGCGTTTAAGGAGGAAGGTCTTGAGATGGACCTTGAAAGAGATGAGAGAGGGGATGAGTTGGAGAGACTCCAAGATGGAGATCCAGAGAATAATGGCAGATAGGAAGAAAGCCTGTGCGCCAATGGTTAGGCGGGTAGATAAGCCACATGAAGCAGGCTAGTGTATTGTGTGTGTGTTCAAAGTCAAGATCCTTCCCAATAACTACAGGCTATTTTGCTCCTTGACCTTGTTACCGATGAATGTGTCCTTAAACAAATCAATGCTAGTGTATTAGTGTGCATGTCAATCTTGTACTGCTCAGAATGAAGCACGCCTTTGCTTCTCTCACACACTCTTTTGTTTCCAATTGGAGTCACATTCTGGATGTCCAGTAAATCCTTGTTGCTTATGACAGTTTTTTACAATGTCATAGAAAAGACAAGAAAGCAAAGGAAAAACGTTTGTCCAATTGCCAACAGCTGATAAAATGCAGCTTTCTTCTCAACCACAGCCAGGCATTGCTCCAACTTGGGCAGCTTAATTTATTATCATATTTTGATTCATCCCACACAGTTACTCTTTTCTGCTGGTGCTTTGTGTGCATTAATTCATAATAACTGGCCTGGGCAGCAATGATCCATCCTTTCTTAACCCAGGCTCCTATGGGCATGAGCCTACAGCACAGAACTGCTTTCTATTATAGCTATCACTGACTGGCACCACATTTTACTGTACAAATGTAAAAACTGCTGGGGAAGGAAGGACTGCCTGTTGAGAGTTGGGTTGAGCTGTATTCTCGGAGTAACAATGGCAGCTTTCGTAAAAACTGTATGCGGTTGGTGGGCCCTATTCATGACAAAGTTGAAACAATTCCCATTCGCAAGACTGTCATTTCACATATATATAAAGTATATATGCTTCTAAATTATTCATTTTATTACACCACTTGTTTGTAGATAAACTTTGACATTTAAATGTACGTTACATATTACAGTTAATTCTCTGATATCTGAAATACGCCATTAACTTAGACCGACACTCCAGTGAAATTATTGGGGTGGGGGGCACTGAAATACCATCCAGCACATAGGACTATGGTTTAATGTCTTAACCAATGCACGTCATCTCCCATAGCAGAACTTCCTGGAATGAAGGGTCAGATAGATTATGAACTCCAGCTCCAGCAGGCAGCTATCGACTGGGACATCTCCAGGAACAAAATGAACATTACATCCCACATTTTTCACTCAATAATGTACAATTAATTTATTTCCTTAATAAACAATAGTTTTAGTCGTCCATTCATAACTTTGGGGTGATAATATCATATGCATTTGCTCCTTTTTTGTGTGTCCACTATTTATTCAGTGTTTCTGTTTTGGTTACAGGAGGTAGTACAGGAACCTCTCCAACAACCTCCAGCCCAGGAACTCCATCCCCTTCAGCATCTTCTCATCTTCTCTCTCCATCCTGCTCTCCGCCCACTTTCCATCTGGCTCCCAACACCTTTAATGTTGGCTGCAGGGAGAGCCAGCTCTGCAACCTCAATCTCTCGGAATATCCAGCATGTGCCCGAGGCAACATGGCAACTCTCCAGAGTTACCCTGCTCTAGCTGAGGGTGGGTACAATCGACTACAAGCTCCCAGTGTCTCTGCTCAACCACCTTCAGAAACGTTCGTGCCACAGAGGACTTCTTCACTAATCTCTGGAGTGCCTGCCCCATCTTCAATGCCAGGCAACAATAAGATGGATGCCTACAGCAGCCAACTGCCACCCCTTACTGCGTCTCAGTTCCAATACGTGATGCAAACAGGAAATCATGGCGCTAACACCTCTTCAACCCACATGTTTAGCAGTGGTCATGTCCAACAAGGCTCTTACAATGCCTTCTCACTACACAATCCGTATAATCTTTATAGTTACAACTTCTCTGCCTCCCCCAGGCTGGCAGCCAGCCCAGAGAAACTCGCTGCTTCCCAAAGCACTTTACTCTGCTCCTCCTCACCCAACGGCGCCTTCAGTGAGAGACAGTTCCTGTCCACGGGGATGGATGGAATGCACATGATCGGCTCCACTCCTTCCCAGCAGTCTCAGAATATGTGCGACACCAGACAGTATGCGACTGTCCCAGGGAGTTCGTCACAAATGCCAATGCACATGGTATAAAAGCAATATATTAAAAAANTCTTTACCTGAGCTCCCCATACATGTACAGCACTATGCACTAGAAACTACCAGGGACAGTAAAGATAGTGCCTACAAAGCACATTAATACTAATTAATCTTGCTTAGTTGGATGTCTCCTAGGGACAGCAAGGCAATCCCTAACCACATGGAGTTTCATGCCTCTTCAGCAACAATGATATTGGGACAAGCAAATCCTAAACAAAAACACATTGAGCGAGGCAGGCACAAAATGTGTTTGGGTCCGTATAACTGGATATGTATTATCCATTTTCTGGAAAATTGCTTGAACTTCCAGACACTGAATGCTCTCAACTGGGGCACAGAACTCTATTATAATAGATGTAGGGAATATATGTGTATATTATTCACTTTCTAGTGATGACAACGCCTGGGCGATACTCCCTCTAAGGACCGAAATCTCCTTTTAAGTTGGTTAAAGGGATGATGTATTTAATTCTTAGAAATTGCTTGATATTTACTTCTTTACTTTGGTTACAGCACACATACATTATCCTGTTTGTGTAAACTGCTTGATTTCTGGAAACTGGACAATTTGTGATCCCTGCACCAAGACACACCGTGAACCAAACGATTGAAGACTGTTCAACATTTTCAGTACTTGATAGTGTTTTGCCCTATGTAGGCACTTTTACTGTGTTTTGGCTCAACCACATTTAATTCAATACGGTTGGGTTTAGAATTGTTTCGTCTCTATTTCATAGGCAGCCTTACTGTACCTGTACTGTTGTGTTTCCAGAGTAGCCTATTGCAGCATCCCTTTGTGTTTGGACCTCAAAAGAAGCTGTTGCTTCAATTTTCTGAGAGAAACAAGCCTGTTCCCGAGCTCTTTGTTTTTCTAAAATACAAAACTGCAAACTGATAAACTGTTACAACACTTAACTGGAAACATTTTAAGAAAGTACAGGCTGTCTGTTAGTTTAAGAGTTCACTGGAAAGATAATAGGGATAGGTCTAATAGTGTGCAGTAGAGCCAATTGTGATACTCCATTACAATGAAATTGACTCTTCATCCAGTTGTTTCTATTAAACATATGTGTACTGATCTGGCAAGTTCTGATCTGGCAAGGTGAGATCGGGACCTAAAGTCATTAATCTATTCCATTCTATGATAAAATGGTAGCAATGGTAGCTGTCCAATTGAGCTCCTTAGGACTGGGTTGCAGTAGATAACCATAACTGAGAAAGACACCCAATTTATGGGTAATCTCTGGAACCTAGCTATGCACCCTCCACCCCCTGCCCCCCACCTCCACCCCAGCTTGTCAACACTTATTGTAAATGGTGACAAAACTTGGTCAAACACATATTGTGAAAATGGGTTGAGAAATTGTGTTTGTATACTCTTTATACAAATGTATTAAAAATGCATTCACCCCATTCCCCCCACACTTCGCCCTCCCCCCAAAAAATGAGCATTACATTTCAGTGCATAAAGGGGTACGTGTTCAATGACATTGTAAGGGGAGGTTAAAATGCGCACATGATATCGATTCAACACCTCACTCCTACTTTACATTGGATGCTTAGATCTGCTCATGAAACTTTGCACTGATCCGAAAGAAATTGTACCCTTACAGAAGTGACTAGACCTATCCCGTGAACCAGATTTTCTGGTTGAGAAGGTCTTGACAATGATAGTATCTGATGGACTGTTTTTAATAAATGTTCCCATTACCAGTGTGCTTATGATGTGGATTGTGCTGTAGGATTGGTGTGTTGCAAAAAATGCATGTTCAATTCTCTGAGAGTTAATGTGATTGTGTTGGAAATAGTCACAGTTCAATGCTAAACTTAACTATGAATTTACTTACTGTAAGACAAATGTGATTGAGATCCGTAATAGCCATTCAACACTATAAATGTCAATTGGAAAATGCAAACCACGATACATCCAACTGTAGCAGATAACCTCATGTTTGGAATACTCAACCCCAATAGATATCTGGTCTATGTGTTATGACCCTGATTCAATGCAATGCAGAGGAAGCACCACATACCTTTTGAACTGGCATTAATAGACACAGAAGACATTTCTGAATGATTAATGATTCTAAATGGTTAATGCTAATACAAACGTCATCTTGCTTCTGCATCTTTGTTCTTTAATCAAATGTAAGGTTTCAGGCATCGGTTTATATTTAAGTTTTTTTTTAAATGAGAATTTCCAACAATAATTGCATCCAAACAGTGCTTCCAACCTTCCTATGCAAATTTCTGTAAAAAAAGTCTTCTTTGCTGAAGAAGATGAATATATCCCCTGCACGGCCACTTTTCCACTACAGCTGTTGAGCAATAATGGATCTCTGTCTGCCTGACTTTCCTGTGTGCTGCACTTAATTGTTCCCTGACTGGAAACATTTGTCCATGCAATTCCTTAGACAATTGCCAAGCTAGGTCATTCCATAAGATGGATGACTTCATGGTCCACAGAATCACTTTACAGACAATTCTCAAAACATTTGCGAGGGAACTCTGAGAAAATTCAAAACCGTTCCATGGAAGAAAAACAGCTTCCTGGTCAAAACAGCAACCTTACTGACAAACTCAGTAAGTTCCTGGAAAAGGCTCATGAAAAGGTTCATTCAACAGAACCCCCTAACAGTTACATGCTTGGAGAGAAAACCCGCAGAGAAAGCCTACTGCTTTCTTACTTAGCATGGTACACAACCCCTTACAGAAACATCTAATCTTAAGTGGCAAAGACAACAATTTGGCTCTCTGAAGCAAAAAATATCAGAAAGCCTCATGGAGAATTTCCTGAACAAGCCAGTTTCTACTGTTGCTTCATACACTTGAAGGAGGTTTCTCCAAAGGTTTTACTCCAGAGTAACACATCATAGTGTTGGATCCAAACAATATACGTTCACTTATTCTTCAAGTCTATATTTTTATATGCCAGATTAGAAGTAAAAACACGACAAGTTTAAAGACTATTTAAACTCCCCCTCAGCTGTCTACAATGCAGTACTAGCTTCAGATGAACATAAGTTGCCCACTGGATTAGATAAGAGAGAAGAATGAGTTTAGCAGCATCAAGAGGGCTTCTGTAGCCTGAACAAAGCATGACATTAAGGGGCTCCCTGGACTAAATGCTGCATTATGTTAGGGATGTCTGTGGGCTAAACAGTGCAATTATAGGGGAGTTCTTTAGATTGAATAGTGCATTACATTGGAGAGCACTAAGGACTGAATAATATATTTTACTGGAGAGTATGAACTGAACATGGCATTACATAGGGGGAGCTGTATGGAATGAACAGTGTGTTGCACATGGACTCTTTATGTACCTCTGTGGATAACAATAAATAATTTTAAGTAACTTGTTTCTTTTAGGGACTCTGTCTTGACCTGCTCAGAAGGTTTGAACTGCATAATCATGAGTGTAAAATATTAATAAATACTTTTAGTGAAGGGCATCTGAATTTTATATTTTGTTAATTTATTTTTGTCCTTTCACCCCTTCTTTTCCTCCGCCGCCGTCCTCTCCTCTCTCCCCTGCCCCACGCTCTCCCCAACAGAATTTTGGCCAGTGAGCTATTTCCTTAATCTCAGAGAACATGTTGGTCCAAACATCTGCTTCTGCATTGGCATTGGCAGTCCCACGAACAGCCCACAATGTGGTATGGTACTGGGGGGGCAAGGGGGCCGAAGGGGATATTTCCTGCCTTGGAACAAAACCAACCAGAAATTGATGGAATGTGTTGAATCTCTGCAGTTTGTTACTTTCTTGTTTCTTGAGTGATTGAAAAAAAATAAAAAGATTAACATGGAAACAAAACAGGAAGATATTGTCATGGCAGACATGTCTACCACACAAAGAAAAAGAAACGTATTGTCAGAGATGTGAAAGAAAACGACAGAATGGCCTCTCCTAAGAGACAAAACCCAAGCACAGCAAACAGTCTATTTTATTCAGATTTGCTTAGTGACACCCACATTCCCTTTGCTTTGTTCCCTCCCCTGCCTCTTTCAGGGCACATCTCAAGACCCTCCTCTTCGTCTGTGCCTTCGGCCACCCTTTCTGCCCTCCACCCTCCCTGATCCCAACTCCCCCCACCCTGCTTGGGTCCTATTCCCTGACTGTTCAGTGTCTTGCGACATCCTCCTAACATGAAAGGTGCTTTACAAATGTAATTTTGTATTGAATTGCAGTTTCATAACCTTCAGACAGAGGAAACACAAGATCACAATGTTACAAGAGAGGTTTGAAAAAAGAAGGCCATTTGATCTCATTTTTCTAGATTACCCACCCTGATGTCCTCCCATGTCCTCCCAGCATTTCAGCCTCATTTGCCCTTCCTGGTGACCGATTTCAGTCGTTAATTACCCTCAAGGTAAATATAGAGAGCCCTCCCTTGGGTTGAATTTTAATTGAGGTGCCAGAGACAAAAGGTTTTGAACTCACTGCTCGATCCCCACAGTATTTTAAAAATATAATAATTCCCATTAACAGAAATACAAATTCATCAATCATTTATCTCAAAGGGAAGTCATGCTGTAAAGTTTAGTGCTTTCACATTTAACTAGCACAAACTCTATAATGTAACTGCAGTTTTACAAGCTAGCAATGATCAGATAGACACACATTGCCTGAGCTTCATATGAGCTGAGATTAATGTTGGCTGAAATGTGACCACAGCTGGTGTTAAGCTTAAGATGTTTTGAATTGGCCCAGTGAGCCACCATTTAGGTTTTATGGTTATCTTCACACATATGGATGCATATCATTCTCTACTATTTTGGTTACATCTGTCATGGACTTTAATGTTCCCAATTTCATTCATGCGTGTAGTAAATCATGTTTTTTTAAGAATTTATATTCATTTCAGCACTTGGAGTCTCTTAAAGATGTGCACGCTTTATATTTTGAAATAAATCAAAATGCAAGAAGAGTTCAAATCTCTTGCAGATGTGACATGGACACCAATAATGTCACACTTCTGTGAAGAATGCTTCAGATGCAGTAAGGATGAGTGCATAGGCCTTAGATCTAGGATTTTTGGTTTGGTTCAGTCATTATAATGAGCCATCGCATTTTTCATCTCATTGCTTTGGTTATCAACCACAACAACTTGCCTTTACCTAGTGCTATTTTATGCAGTGTAGCATTTTTGAGCGTTTAACAGTGTCGGAGACTGACCCTGAGCTGGGGAGAGAGGGGAGATGACCATAGGCATGGTCGAAGAGGAAGATCTTAAGGTATGATCTGAATATGTGGAAGTAGGGGGAAAGGTGGAGAGATTGAAAAAAGTTGCAGAGTTTTGGGCGTAGTGACTGAAAGCATGGCTGCCGATGGTGGAACAAAGGAGATGAGGGGACAAGGGACATGTGGGCTGGAGCCAGCGAAGTGGAGGGGTGGGTGGTGGAGGGTCAGAATATGCAGGTTGGAGAGGCACGGAGGTACCAGGGTATGAAGGGATTTGTAGATAAGTGTGAGGATCTTGAAGTGTTCTGTTCTGTGATCGTGATAGTCTCTTCAACCGTACCTTCAGCTCCCCTCTCGCCTCTCTATCCCCTCCTCGTTCCCTCCCTTCTCTTCCCTTCCCGCCCCTCACCCTAACCATTTCCCCCTGCTCGGATCCCGACCCAACTGTCCAGCGCCTTGGGACGTCCTCCCGACGTGAAAGGCGCTTTATAAATGCAATCTTGTTGTTGTTGTTGTTGATAGTCAAGCCTGGCAAGAACTGGTGTGATGGGGGTACAGAGTTTAGAGTGGGTCAGTACACAGGTGGCAGAGTTATGGAGCAATTGGATTTTTGTGGATGGTGTTGCTGGGGAGACTGGTAAGGAGGTGAATAGTTGAGGTGGGAGGTGGCTGAAGTGTGGATGAAGGTTTTGGCTGCTCAGACCTGAATCACACCAGCCCAATAAAGTAAATGGAGAAAGTGGAACCATGGCTCAGCTACACTCCAATTTTTGGCTGTGATTTATGAGGTGATTTTAATTTATTTTTGGGAAATAGATCAGTCTGACTTTTCATGATTCAAACCTATCGTACCTCACAAATTCATATTTCTGGCCTGGGTTCAGAAGATGTCTGTAAAAAACAGAAATAGTGGTGCGGTCCAGATCGAGGCAGGAACCTGTTGCTCGGAAGGAATAATTTCCCTTTCTTCCTCTCTCTGTTTCATTACACAGTGGAAGAGCTGAGAAGGAGAAGAGAGGGGAAGGAGAAGGAAGGTTCATATCACAACCAATAAATATAAATAACTCGCTTCGACTATCATTTTCAGCAATGTGATAATTATCACCGGTGACAATTAACACATCCCATCACACCTCGCAATTTTCACTCAGAACGTATTACTAAGCCACACAGACCAAGAATGCCTTAGGTTTAACCCAGACCTGACCTAAATTAGATGCTTTCAGCAGCATCAGAAGGTTCAGCACCCACTCTTGGGCCAGGAAATGAAGGGAGGGAAATTAGCTTGATGCTTCTCTAGAGGCCCAACATTCGTTCCTCATGGTTTTAGCAATAAGATTTTAAAAATGTTTCCAAAACACTGCATGATCTTAACTTTTAAGACAATGATCTTAGTCTCAAACTGGAAAATGCACATATGTGGCTGTTGTGTGCAAACAGAATTGGGTCTAGAGGTAATGTTCCCCATAGCTGAATAGGTTGCTAACACTCATTATATTCCCCCTCCCCCTCCCCAATATCTTAGCTCACAAGTGAAGAACAATGACCTGAGTGAACTATTAGATCCAGAGAGCTGTATTGCCTACGGATCTGTACTGGGACCAATTTTATTTTATTTATTGGCCAAGTAGGGAAGCAAACATGAATTGATTACTTCGGCCTGGGCTTTATCCTCGCTTTGGCAGACAACCAAGTTCAAAGAGTAGGCAGCCAATGAAAACTTTGAGAGTTTTTTCCCCTTATTATCTTACATCATCCTTCACACTTAACGTAACAGGACATTTGTGAGTGACATAAAAAATCCAGGAGAAAACCATACTAACTGAACACACCGCAGTGCACCAAGATTTTGGTGAATCACAAGAGAATACACATGGGAATCCCTAGAATAAACCCATTGCTTTTCAGTGAGTCACTAACCTCAGCGATGAGCAAATAAATGTACTTCAGTAATTGAGGAGTTAAATTCTACAGTTCCCTTGGTGAATTTGTGTTACTTACAAGTGCACTACCTCACCTAAGCATGGTGTGAAATCCAATTGTCAGCCATTTGGCAGTGAATCCACTAGAGATATCTTGAGATGAGTCACCATGTGACGTGGTGTGAATCTCAAGATATAGTTGATAGATGCAGTCAACAACACTTGGCATGAAATCAGCTCAAATTACTGACACTGCTTTATACTATGGAGCTCTGAAGTATAGTGCAGTGGTCTACAGGAAATCCTGATAGGAAGTCATCCCAATGAGCTCTGCCAGCCACCTGTGAAAACAAGAGTGTGAATTCTCACTGTGGTTTTACATGCACACAACAGGAGGAATGAACAGAGTCCAGAGCCAAAACCTCACACTCGCCCAAACATGGTCTAGGTAATGGCTCAAGTTTCTAAAATAAAAGCATAATTGTCTGTTGAACAATAAATATGACTTCAACCAGCTGAAAGGCCCAGGATCATGATTTATATTGTTACTTTTACCTGGCAAGAACTTTTCCGTTTCCAAAATCAGAACCTTGCCTCTGCATAGAGCAAATTAAGTCCTTTACACCTTAATTATATTTGGCAGATCAGGTCAGCAATAATGGGGGTTTAATTGACTGTATTTCTGAATGGGAATACTGAATCTAGTAACTCAATTAACTCATCCTTTGTACATCAACCATTCGCCCACAAAATACACACAGCCATTCTGTTTTACAGTTTATCCTATTAAGCACTTTGAGAAGCCTACAACAATATGACAAGGTTTTATATAAAAGGTATCTCTTATTGTATGAAGAGAAGAGTTGAAAGTTGATATGTATTAATATATACATATACACATACATTTACATTAACATAATATAGTGCCCTTCACTAGGGCAGCGTCTTGAAGCGCTTAGCAGTGGCGAAGCCGGATGCCAAGCAGGAGGGGTGAAAAACACAGCGTATAATAAACGTAAAATAAAAGTTTCAAGGGTGTGATTATCACATTGCCAAAAATTGCGTTCCAAACCAATCCATAATTATTGATAACAATACAATATATATTTACATTTATATAGGTCCTTTCATGTCGGGAGGATTTTTCAAGGCACTTAACAATAATGGCTTTTGCATCCAAGCTGGGTACGGGTGTATCAATAATACTATATGTATAATCTAGTTGTTTTTTTAATGATTTGTTACAGATTGTTACATTTGTTCTATCTGTATGTACTTGTGAATCCTATATTATTGTGATATTATTTTTCAGTGTCACTTTTGTTTTAGTTGATGTTCATACCAGTTGGTCTTT